TGCCCTCTTTGTGTCTAGCTCTGTGCTTTACTCAGTAGTAAATACAAAAAGGAGGAAATAAGTAAGAAAGATAGGCTACACAAAGTCTATTCTGTATATGTGCTCTAACTTTTTCTCCTTAAACACTTAGAGCAAACTTGAAAGGCTGTGTAGTTTTGATGAAAGGTCCAGCTTCATGTAGTGGAGAGTCAAAATACTGACTTAAATAAGGTATCCATTTCTCTCTCTACCATTTAAGAGTCCAGAAGTGGGGTGCCCAGGACTAGAATGATAGCCCTGTTCCAGGGACCCACACACTGTGTGTCCCATTGCTCAGCCTGTGTGAGGTGTTGCTCTCAGCCACACGGTCCAAGATGGCACTCCTCTCACCCACAGTCTCTCCCATTGCAAACATCACTTCTGCTTACAGCCTGTTTGCATAACCAAATCTTTCTGAGAAATACATGTTTTAGTATGAGCAGCTACATGCCCAGCCAAACAGCAGAAATTCATTTATATGAAAGAAAAGAAAATGACCCAGGTCTTGCGGAACATAGGTGGTTATGATGTTCCCATTTTGCAGTAAAGAAATTGAGAATCATATAGCTTAAAAAACCTTTCTAAGTTCCACAGGCATTGCTACGCTCCACTGCCTCTCTGTAATACTGTGCTATAGTTGCCTTAAACTTTTGTCTGAGCTATTCCTGCCAGTAGGGAATCAATATATGCATTTTCACAGTAAGTTCTGTATTTTTTCTTTCTCTTTCTTTCTCTCTTTTTCTTCTGTCTCTCCTTCCCTCCCTCCCTCCTTCCCTCCTTCCTTCCTTTCTTCTCTTTCTTTCTTTCCTTTCTTTCTTTTTCTTTTTCTTTCTTTCCTTCCTTCTTTTTCTTGCCTGCTTGCTTCCTTTTCCCTTCTTTCCTTCCTTTCCTTTCTTTCTTCCTTCCTTCCTTCCCTCCCTCCTTCCTTCCTTCTTTGTCATTGTCATTCTTTTTTTTTTTTTTTTTTTTTTTGGTTCAATCCAACCTCAACCTCCTGGGCTCAAATGATCTTCACACCTCAGCCTCCTAAGTAGCTAGGACTACAGGCATGTGCCACTATGCCTGGCTAATTTTAATTTTTTTTTTGTAGAAATGATGTCTCCCTGTGTTTCCCAGGCTGGTCTGAAACTCCTAAGCTCAAGTGATTCTCCTGTCTCAACCTCCCAAAGTGTTGAGATTACAGGAGTGAGCTACTGATCCTGGCTCATCTCCTTTACAGAAAAGAAAACAAGGCTGTGAAGAAAATCTATTTAAGGTAGAGAATGTAAGAAGCTCAAGAGTTCTCACTTACCAAAATAATAATAATAATATTCTGAGTAAGTGAAAAATCCACTGAACTATGGGGAGAAGTTCAGCAAACCAAGCAGAGAGGCTGCCAAGGTGGGTAAGGCTGCCTAGAAAAAAATCATAGAATGGCCCTCCATTGCTCTGCCTTCATACTGTCATTACCACAGCGGTCACTGTCACAACTACTTAGCTCTGCTGCTGTAACATGAAAGCAGCACTGGAATACATAAGCAAATGGGCATGGCTAGGTGGCAACAAAAATTTATTTATGAACATTGAAATTTGATTTTCATATGATTTTCACATTATAAAATAGTCTTCTTTTAATTTTTTTCAACCATTTAAAATGTAAAAATAACATTGCACTCATAGGTCATGTAAAAAGGTGTGGGTACATTTGTACAACGGACTACTACTCAGCAATAAAAAGAAATTAACTCGATGTAGGCAACAACTTGGACAAACCTCAAGGACATTAAGTTGAGTCAAAAAAGCCAATCTCAAAGGTCATGTGCTGTTAGATTCCATTTTCATAACATTCTCAAAATGATGAAATTATAGAAATGGAGAACAGGTGAGTGGTTAGGAGTTAGGCATGGTTGGATATAGTGCATGGCTGTGACTATAAAGAGCTTTTGTGATAAGGAAATAGTTCTGTGTCTTAATTGAGGTGGAGGCTGCATGAATCTACACGATTGATAAAATAGCATAGACACAAACATATATTGTACCCATATGAATTTCCTGGCTTTGATACTGTACTATCATTATGTAAAATGTAATAACTGGGGGAAACAGGGCGAAGGGTACGTAGCACTTTTCTGTACTATCTTTGCAACTTCATGTGACTCTACAACCATTTCAAAAGAAAAAGCTAAAAACAAAAAAATAGGCCAGATGCAGTGGCTCACACCTGTAATGCCAGCACTTTGGGAAGCCAAGGTGGGTGGATTACCTGAGGTCAGGAGTTCGAGACCAGCCTGACCAACATGATAAAACCTTGTCTCTACTAAAAATACAAAAAAATCATCTGGGTGTGGTGGTGGACACCTGTAATCCCAGCTACTCAGGTGGCTGAAGCAGGAGAATTGCTTGAACCCAGGAGACAGAGGTTGCAGTGAGCCGAGTTCATATCGTTGCACTCCAGCCTGGGCAACAAGAGCAAAACTCCATCTTAAAAAAAAAAAGAAAGAAAAACAATGGGTTAGATTTGATTCCTGAACTATAGGTTTTCAACCATTGGAATAGGAAAATTAAATTTGCAGTATACACAATAGGGAAAATGAATATGCAGAAAAGAATATACAATTAAACACGAAAATAACCCATTTTTAAAAAATGGATAAAGGATAAAATAATTCACAGAGAAATATAGACAATAAAAATATTTTTTAATTGCTATAGAGTACAATAATAAAAAAATAACTACAGCAAGCATTTTCCCACAGTAGCAAAAACATACAAAATGAATATTGTCAAGTACTGATAACAATGGGGAAAAATGTATAGTGACAGACACTGTTGATAAAAGTCTATATTGGTAAACTGAAGGATATTTTGGTGGTTTGTATTAAAAATTTGAATAAGTCCACCATTCCATATCTCAGAATGTACTCTATGGATACACTTATACAGACAGGATCACAAAGATACAAATGGAATGATGTTCACTGCCATATAGCTGTTTTTTTTAATCTCAATAGCTTCACTGAGATTTAATTTACATAGCATCACATTAGCTCATTTTGAGTATACAAGTCAATGACTTTCAGTAAATTTAGTAATACAATCATCACCAAAATCTAATTTTAGAACATTTCATCATCCCCAAATGATCCTTCACGCCCATTTGCAGTCACTCCTTGTTAACAGCCCAGCCATAGGCGACCACTAATTTACTTTTGTCTGTATAGATTTTCAGTTCCTAGACATTTTATATAAGTAATACATTTTAGTTTTAATTGGGGTGTAGCCAAAACTCAACAACATAAATCATCTTTCACTAATACTCTAGTACCATCTATGGTTATGATTTAAAATCATACTAAAATTTAGGTTTAAAATCAAGAATACAGCTTTAATAAGGAGAGATTAGGGAATATTAAGTGGCATGTGATAGAAAGTGATATTAAGACATTACATGTATACTGTCTTTATTCAGAATTTGATAAGCAAAATCAGTTGAACTTTATGACAGAGTAATTCTGTGCAGCTGTTACACGTTTCCTCATCTGTAGGGGGATACAAAATTGATCTGTGCATTTTCAAGGCAGGAGTCATTGGTACTTTGACAGAGTTCTATTCTGGAGACAGTATGCCTATTATGCCAAATGTCTAATGTACACCTAATGATTGTATTATACACAGAAAGCTGTTATGCACTGATTACCAACTGCTGTTTATAATCTTTTGAATGCATTTTCATGCTGAAGAAAATGATGGAAAAAGTCACAAAAGGGAGAAAATGGAAAAGAAAGTGATCCATAAACAATGGGGCTTCATAGAGCTCCATGTGGCTACATCAAGCCTCATGTGTCTGAGAATCACTGACAAGTTTTAGGAGCATAATGAATTTCTAGGTTTAAAAGCAATAAAGCAAATAGTAGCCTCTGATTTAATATGTACATAGATTCTGGGGTGTGGTAACACTTGATACTATGAGTCTGGTGCTGCTTGGGTCTGATGGCGACTGCTGAGCCGACTACACCCAACCACAAATCATCAATCGTCCTAATCAATAAGTGATCAATTTTCCCATGAGGAAACTGCTGGTTTAAATGTTCAGGGCTGCTTTCTATGTTTGTTATCCAATTATGTTTTCAAATATTTTAGAGGTTCAGTAGAAAAGAAAATAAAAGGATTTAGTTCATTTGAAAATGGTAGGCACCAGGAAATTGAGCCACCCTGATAGGGAATCAAGAAGGCATGGGGTACTCTCAAATGAGACTAGATCCCAAAAGCACTGCTTTCTTTCTATGTAGCATTAGAAGACTACCATTTTGGAAGAAATGTGAGAAGACAGTAAGAACAGATGGGCTGGTTCATCAAAAACTTAAACAAAAAATTGCCATGTGATCCTGCAATACCACTCCTAGGTGTATATGTATACCCAGAAGAATTGAGAGCAGGGACTCAGATACTTGTACACCAATGTTCTTAGCAGCATTATTCACAAAAACCAAGTGGTAGAAGTAATCCTAGTGTTCATCACCAGGTGAATTGATAACCAAAATGTAGTATATCCGTAATATGAACGATTATTCTTTTTCTTTATTTCTTTCTTTCTATTTTTAGAGTGGGAGTCTCAGTATATTGCCCAAGCTGGTCTCTAACTCCTGGGCTCAAGCAATCCTCTTGCCTTGGCCTCCCAAAATGCTGGGAAAATATTATTCATCCTTAAAAAGGAAGGAAATTCTGATACATCTACAACATGAATGAACCTTGAAAATATTATGCTGAGTGAAATAAGCTAGACATAAAAGGAAAAATATTATATGACTTCACCTGTGTAAGGACCTAGAACAGGCAAATTGAAAGAGGCAAACAATAGAATGGTAGTTAGCAGAGGCTGGAGAGTAGGAGGAACAGGGAGTTATTGTTTAATGGATACAGAGTTTCTGTTTGGGCTGATTTTAAAATTCTGGAAATGGATAGTTATGTAATTTACATAACACTGTAAATGTATTTTTTTCTTTAAACATATGGAACGCTTCCTGAATTTGCATATTATCCTTGCACAGGGGCCATGCTAATCTCTATATCATTACAATTTTAGTATATGTACTGTTGAAGTGAACATGAGTATATTTAATGCGACTGAAAATGGCCAAAATAGAAACTTTTTGATTATGTATATTTTACCACACTTTATTAAAAGGACAATTAAAAAGCATAATTGAGCCATAGGAAGATATAACAACAAATGTTAGAATTAAACCTTTCGACAGCTGATTGTCCTATTTTAGCCTTCTCTGAGGTCTTAAGAAATTAGAATGCCAATTCTGGTTTTTGTTTTTTTTTTTCCTAATGGGAGGAAGAAATTAGCTGCTTTAACTTTTTTTTTTTTTTTTTTTTTTTTTTTTGAGGTAGGCTCTCCCTTTGTTACCCAGGCTGGAGTGCAGTGGTACCATCTCAGCTCACTGCAACTTCTGCCTCATTGGGTTCAAATGATCCTCCCACCTCAGCCCCACCAGGTAGCTGGGACCACAGGTACCCGCCACCACACCCAGCTAATTTACTTATTTTTAGTAGAGACAGGGTTTCACCATGTTGCCCAGGCTGGTTTCAAACTCCTGAGCGCCAGTGATCTACCTGCCTCCGCAGGTAGTGCTGGGATTACAAGCATGAGCCACTGTGCCCAGCTGCTTTAACACTGTAGATTACAATTAATTTTTTCCTTTATTGCTTCAATAAATAATTATTAAAGGCTCACTACATGCCAGGCACTGTTCCAGTTGTTAGTAAACAGAAAGAAAAACCTCTTCTCGAGCTTAGTGGAAAAGATATAATAAACAAACAAATATTTATTTATTCACTTATATTTCATTTTTAATAGAGATGGGGTCTTTATGTAGCCCAGGCTGGTTCAAACTCTTGGGTTCAAAGGATCCTACCAAAGTGAGGATCCTATTACAGATGTGAGCCACCACACTTGGTCATAATCAAGGAAAGCTTTAAATGAGCAAGATGTTTCTGATAGTGAAATGTCTCATGCAAAAAATAAAATAGAGTGACAGAGAGTGGGAGCAAAAGAGGGAAAGATGCTACTCTTGAGAGGGAAATCAGGAAATATCAAGACCAGAATGAACTGAAAGCAGAAGCGGGTCCCAGACCTAAAGGCCTGCATTTCTGCTAGAGGACACACTCATAGAAAGGCCTGATGGTGGAAAATAGATTGGCATTTTCAGGAAACAGAAAGAATGTTCTTGTGATGGATCACATGGAAAAAAGGGAGACAGCGAGGAGATGAGAATGGCGAATTAGGGTGCTATATGCTTTATTGAGGAGTGCCCAAAGGGAACCCATTGGAGGACTTTCAGCTCTGTAGTGACATGATCCAGTTTACATTTTGAAAGGCAACCCTGGCAGCCGCATGGAGAATGGAATAAGACTGAGTTAAGAATGGAGGCATGGAAACCAGTTAGCATGGAGGTCAGGTTGGAGTCTAAGGCAGTGGTCCCCAACTCTTTTGACACCAGGGACTTGTTTCCTGGAAGACAATCCTTCCACGGACTGGGGTCAGGGATGGGTGGGTTGGGGGAGATGGTTTTGGGATAAAACTGTTCCACCTTAGATAATCAAGCATTAGATTCTCATAAGGAGCCCTCAACCTAGATCCCTCACATGTGAAGTTCACAATAGGGTTTGCACTTCTATGAAAATTCAATGCCACTGCTGATTTGACAGAGTTCAGGAGGCAGAGGTCAGGCAGTAATGCTCATCTCCTGCTGTGTGGCCTGGTTCCCAACAGGCCATGGACCAGTACCAATCCAAGGCCCAGGAATTAATGACCACTAGTCTAATGCAACAGTGCAGGTGAGAGATGATAACAGTTTGGAAGAGGGGAGTGGTGATGCTAATGGAAGGAAGTAGAAGAATTAATGGCAACTGATAATAAAATGTGTCAGGGATATTTCAAAGCACTTTAAAATGTCATTTTCTTTAATTGATAATCTGAATTGTGTCTGATACCCTACAGCTTTTTCATAGCATATCAGGTGCTTAATATTTGAAAGTAAGCATATACTTTCATAGGAAGAAAATAAATAATTGGGTATAGTAAATCTCCAAGGCTATGAGATCTCTTTGCTCTACACTCTTTATGTACTTATGTATTTATGTATGTATGTATTTATATCTTTTGAGATGGAGTCTCACTCTGTCACCCAGGCTGGAGTGCAGTGGTACAATCTTGGCTCACTGCAGCCCTCACCTCTGAAGTTCAAGTGATTCTTCTGCCTCAACCTCCCGAGTAGCTGGGATTTTACAGGCAAGCATCACCACACTGGCTAATTTTTGTATTTTTAGTAGAGATGGGGTTTCACCATATTGGTCAATCTGGTCTCAAACTCCTGACCTCAAGTGATCCACCCTCCTTGGCATCCCAAAGTGCTAGGATTACAGGTGTGAGCTACCACACCTGGCCACTTTATTTATTTTTATTTAGCATTTTCACTTAACAATTTGCTATACACTTTAACAGTTCAACCCCAACCAGTGACAATTATATGAATGGCATACATGAGTACTTAAGGAAATATCTGATGAGTAAGAAAATATGCCTAAATAATTAAATTCTTCTTCAAAGACTTCACTGTTACATTATTCATTCAAATGTGACAGAAGGCAATTCAGTTCCACATGTATTTTGTGTCCAGCTCTACATTAGGTGCTGAAAATTAAAATTAGATAAGTAAGAGACTTTGCTTTTAAAGTCTACAGTCTTTGCAGATCATATTTTGTAACAATGATGACGATGGTTCAAGGAAGCTTTTATAGGGCTGATTCCCAATTTCCTTCTTCACTACAAGTAAGTCCCTTAACTTTTAGTTTAAAATGCTCTATTCTCAGAACAGTTGTAACATAATTCATTCATTCGTAAATAAGTTTAGGAAATGTGAATTTTAACAATGTTAAAAGGATTTAACTCTATTGCAAAAGTCTCAGACTATAATATATTTACTGCAAAAAGAATATGGTATGTATATTTCTTTTACATTGTAACTATCTCAAGGCACTCCTTTTAACATTTCTTCAAACAATGTCCTATAGGACACAGTTTAGGAAATGTTACTTTACACAGTCCCTTTACCTTACCCTCTACACCATTCCCCTTTCCCTTTGGGACAATCTAGTCCCCTTCACTCCTTGACTCTTGTGTCAGGGTCTTTCTATTCTTAATGCTATAGATTAGCTCTCTTTTTCTCTGTCATTAGTTACTTTTCTGTGAAAGCTTTGCTTCCTAGTAACTAGTTTCTGACTTTCACAAGTTAAATATGACCTACTTGCTGGATTGGTCAATTTTCATTATATTATTGGGCTTCAATAGACTCTATTCTAGAAGCATATGCTGGATCTATCCCTGTAGGGTTAATCTGACCAAGGAAATTGCCCATATCTTTCTCCACACTGATTCATGAGGACCATAACCTTTCAGATCAGGAAAAATATTCTAAGGCGCCACTCTCCAAACTTGTCTGTGCTTCCAAGTCATCTGAAGAATTTTGCAATAACACAACTTCCCTGGCCCTATCCCAGGCCTAACAGAATGGGAAAAGTATTCCAAAGTGATTTGAATGCAACTAGATCCTAGTCACTCAAATTCAGTTTTATTTCTCCTGCCTTAAATTTAGGAGTAGAGCTAAGTTTATAATAAAGTAAATAACATTTGTTTATTGTTTTATAGACTTTAAAATGTTTTCTTAAATATCTTTTAAACCTCTGAGATGTAGGTAAGGCAGGAATTATAATTTCCACTTAATAAATGAAATTTATAAAAAGTCTAAGAGCTCCTGATCAATAGCAATCAAGGCCAAGGTTCCTGACTTTAGTCTTCACAATCTACCTGTGACTGGCAACAAGCAGTAACAGTAAGGAATGGAAAATGCTGTGATGAGGCAATGGAAGGAGCGGTATGATGAGATCACATGGCAGGAGTAGCCAACACATTGTGGGAATGTACAGACAAGGCTTCCAATGCAAAGACTGAGTAGACATTAGACATTAGAGAGGAAGATGTTCTCTAGGTTGGAATGATAAAAATTTGAGAAAAGCCAAGGCAAGATATTGAAAGTTTGTTTAAAAAACAGAAAGAGTTCAGATTGTCTAAAGTAGAGGCTCGAGGGAAGAAAACAGCAAAAGATGAGGATGAAGTGGTAGACAGGAGCCAGGGAGCAATGTTAAGGTCTTGGAAATATATCTGAAGGACAATGGGGAATTATTGAAAGATTTTGAGCAGAAGAGTGGCCTGATGAGGTTTGGTTTTAAGGGTTCACTTTGGGTGAAAGATGGAGAATCATGTGCAGGAATGTAAGGCTGGAGGTGAGGAGAACAGTTCAGAGACTGTGTCAGAATTTCTTAGGATAGGTGATCATGCTTGCACTAGCACAGTAGTGGAGGTGGAGAGAAGACATAGATGGTGGAATCTATGCCCCTTAGGCAACAAGGTGGCTAGTGTCACTATTCATTGAGAAAGAGATCAGTATGTGAGGAGCTGGTTGGGATGATGTCTAATGTGGACACATCAAAGTATGAATGTCCATAAAGCAAATACATAAATAGTATGGGTCTGAAGTCCAGGAATAGAGATAAGGAAAGTGGTAAAGACTTGAGAGTCAGACATGGATGCCATGGGAGTAGATGAGATGAGAATATGAGGAAACTGGGACCTGAGAGTAAAAATGTCGTGGAGCTAGTATTACTGGAGCTGGGATCATAACCCAGGTCTTCTGACTGCTATTATAGTGGTCTTACCTAAGAACCTGCAGGGAGAATCCCAGCATAATAGCTGAGAGCTCCGACTCAGAGAGCAGAAAGAAAGCAGTCTGAATGCCAACTTGGACACATATAAGCTAAGTGATATTGGGCAAGTTGACTTATTCTCTTTATGCCTTACTTTCTCAAGCTGTAATGAGGAGGTAATAACAATATCAGCACAAAGATGTTGTAGAGATTAAATGAGAAAGCATATTTGGGCTGGGCATGGTAACTCACAGCTGTAATCCCAGCACTTTGGGATTATAAAGCAGGCAGATCACTTGAGGTCGGGAGTTCAAGACCAGCTTGGTCAACATGGTGG